TTGATCTGTAGTGCGTCTCTCATCGATCTTTTGATTATACAGGAAGTTGTAGTGCTATAACCGTGCAAGCAAGCCCGCATAGGGACCTTGAGGGTGATTCACGTAATCAAACCGTTACGATATCGTAGCGATTTAGTCGTTGAACGGCTTTTTCGTATTCACGCGTGACTGAACGTCAACGAGTCTAATTTTAAAGTCATTCGATCCAAATGTCGTTAAAGCGTGTTCTGGTATATGAATGGAACTTAAATCGACTCTAAACGACAAGTCATACGTTTTCTGCTATTTTGACAGTTCTTTCAATAGACTTTCGACGACTAAATGTCAAATTTCACAATCCAAGATGTCGTCCATTAGTCGTTACGTTTCGATTCTACTCATATCAACGTTCATTCAAGTGACAAGTGAATACCCATTTTGGATAGGATTTCGATTGAACGACTACGTAACTTCAACGATATTTTGATAGCTTGAACTTACGTGAATCGCACTACTTATACGGTACCCTCCCTATTTTCCTGATCCAGCGTTACACAGTGTACAACTAACGATTGCCACCGGTAAGCCGTTGAATCTAATTTCAATTACCAATTCTCCTCCCTGGTGACGGAGCTGTAGGCACTCTCACTTCCCGACACCGAAGCGTCTCTCCAGTTCCTATTGTTCCTACGCGACTGGTTAGACCGGAGGATAACTAGCTTAACCTCTACTAGTTATCCGGACTAGCACCGGAGATATCAGTTACTGTGTCCTGCGACAATGTCCGGACATAGTTCACATCTAAGACCAATACAATCCTACCATTGAGTACAAAGTGTATGAGATAAGATGAAATCATATTACCTAAATGTTTATGGACGAAATCTAACTATATCAAATTGTTTTGTTTTTCGAAATTTGAATGTAATAAAATCGAATTTGATGTTAATATTTAGCAATAATGAGAAATTTGTTCTAACAAAACAGTTTATCTTTATGCTGGTCGTAATTTGCAGTTTTTTTTTAATATATAATAGACACACGCTTGGCCACAATCTCACCTGATGTTAACCGGCGATGTGACCGACAATGGGACGCGTTTGCCTAAAAAATGCCTATTTACTCTAGCCTTGAATAGCCCCAAATTGTACTTTTCGGGAAATACAGATAGTGCTGGTAGAGCATTCCATTCCTTTGCCGTACGCATCAGAAAGGAGGAAGCAAAGCGCTTAGTACCAATAGGTGGAATATCAACGACATAAGAATGGAGTCCTTCGGACCTTCTAGTCGACCGAAGGAGAAACGGTGAGGGAGGAACCAAATTGAAAAGTTCCTGCGTACACTCCCCGAAATGTATCCGATAGAAAAACGACAAGCAGGTTACTTTTCTGCGATGGTCGAGATTTTGAAGCTTCGACTCCACAAGATAATTATTGTCAATAATCTTTGCTTTTCGCTCCACCGAGTCCAAGGCAGCTAACTGGTATTGGGCAGAGCCATCCCAAAGGTGGCAGCAGTACTCCATACAGGATCGAACTTGTGCTTTATACAGATTTAAAAGCTGTTCAGGTGTGAAGTTCCGCCTGACCTTGAAAATTATGGCTAGTTTTCTGGCAGAGGTTTTTGCCAAGCACTCGATGTATCGCCCAAAGTTGAGGTTGGATGATAAGTCCAGACTTAGTAGCTCAAGGTGGTCCCTTATCGGCACGGATACACCTCGGATAGTCGGAGTAAGTTGTAGGGGACTCCGTTTTGATGTGAAAAGACACGCCTGTGTTTTAGCCGCATTAAACCTGACCCTGTTAGCATCTCCCCAGTAGGAAGCAGCTTTTAGACTCAGGTTCAACCGGGTGACCATCGTCTCTCGCTTACACCGGATCTCTTCGCTGTTGACTCGGGCGTCTGGCACATAACTTTCTACCACTGTGCTGTCGTCTGCGTACCCAAAGATACCGGGCATCAGCAGCAGGTGGTTGATATGCAGCAAGAATAAAATGGCGGAGAGGACAGATCCCTGAGGTACACCGGCTACACCACAACTACACGGATTGACCTATCCTTCAGAAAATCGCCTATCCATGTGCAAAAGCCAACAGGAATTCCGTAAGCTGGAAGCTTGTTTAACAGGCTATCATGCCAAACCCTATCAAAGGCCTTTGATATGTCGAGAGACACGGCAAGCGATTCACCGCGTTTCTCGACAGCCTCGCAAGAAGATCCCCGGTAGATCGACCACGGCGAAAACCATTCTGTCGATCACTGAGGAGATCGTTATCTTCGAGGTATCCAAGGAGGCGGCTGTTTAATACACGCTCCATAGTCTTACAGAGTATGGAGGTGATTGCGATAGGTCGATAATTAGATGGGTCTGTACAGGCTGTATATTTGCAAGCTTCCAGGATTTCGGGACTTGTCCAGAACTCATAGAGAGGCGATACAGGCGAGTCAACACCGTAGACAATTCGGGTGCACAGTTCCGCAGGACAATCGCTGGGACTCCGTCAGGGCCACTGGCTTTGTTGACGTCTAATTTGCGTAAAGTTTTCAACACCTCTTTTTGACGGATAGTGATCTCGGGCATTTCCGAGTCACATCGTGGTAGTGTAGGTGGTGTTTGCAAAGTAGCGTCAAGACGGGAGTTGGAAGCAAAAAGAGAAACAAAAAGTTTGGCTTTCTCTTTAGCGGTATGAGCCAGCAATCCGTCAGCTCTCGTTAAAGGCGGAAGGGATGACCTGCAGAAATTCGCTTCGACCGATTTAGCGAGTGACCAGAATGCTTTACTCCCTGATGGGTATGAAGCTAACCTGACCCCAATACGACTAATATAGCCTAAGCGAGCTTTCCGTATCGCTTTTTTGCAGGATCTAGCGGTTTTATTAAAGGCTTTCTTCAGACGGAGGGTTTTCGGTACTTTGCGATCTCGAGCATCAGCCCAAGCCTGGTACGCAGATTGCTTTAGCGTTTCCGCAGAAGCATACTCTGCGTTAAACCAAGGGCGAGCTTTGCCGCTGGAGGAGGCTTCGAAATACGGAATAAAGTATTCCATAGCCCGAATAATCACCTCAGAGACATCAGCATCCCAATCTGCTGACTTGAATCGCCACATCCTCCTAGTACTTCTCGTACTAAGATCGGGTGGGGAGTAGACAGATACAGATTTCACCAAACAGTAATCGGATGTCCCTAGTGGGGATGAGACCGATACTTTATAGCGGTCTGGATCGGTTGTCAGCAGAATATCCAGGCAATTGGCTGTGTGGTCGTCAACGTCCGGTACCCTGGTAGCGCAACTCACCAGCTGGGTGAGGTCTAGCGATAGAGCACATGCCCGCGCCTCTCTTCCAGCGTGGTCGGTTTTTTAGTATGGGAACAACCATTCCTGGTGATGGGCATTAAAGTTCCCCAAAAAGACAAGTTGCGCTTTAGGATACCGTTGTTGGACTGTTTCCGCCGAGCTGCAGAGATAGTTGAACAGCCTAGTCGTCTCCGGGTCTCCAGAATGCGACCGGTACACACTGGCATAGACAATTTTGTTCCAGTCCAGTGTCCACCAGAACCCACATTACAGAGAGATCGGGGTCTTCCAGGTCACGGAGACGTTTAGAACAGATATCATCACGAGCGTAAACGCAGGTACCAGCGCGCTGTTTAAATTTGTGCTCCAGAATGTAACCTGGGTAATGCAGATACGCCGTGTCGGAGGGACATCTAATTTAGGTCTTTGGGTGAGGAAGAGTATGTGAGGCCTTTGATGATGGTGGTGGACAGATGAAAGATTGGAGTGCAGACCTCGGATGTTCGAGAGGTGCACTTTAAGTGAAAGGACGTGCATCCGCTGTTTAGTCTTCCTCAATTTCCTTGACCTTTTCATGTTAAGGTTAGAGTGAATGGGGATAGCGAAGGCAGTTGTACGAGACACTACACTGAAAGACATGCGGCACATAGCCTATAGGGTACGCCGATGGGAAACTACACTGGAGCGCGCGGGGGCGCCCGAACCCCCGCGGGAGTGGCCATCGGGTCCTTTCATCCGGTCGCCAACCGGCACGATGGAGCACCCCGGGATTTTTCGCGAGTTGGCGGGGCAGCCTTTCACTGGAGGCTAATCAGCTAATTGGAGCCCCTACTCGGCCAGCGGAGCACCGTGCTTCGGAACCCGCTACCCTCCGCGTCTAGGTTCCCAGAGCAACAACAAGGGAGCCCCGAGATCAACCAAATCAGTGCAGTGCAACTGTACAGACCCTTCACTCTAGAGCGGCTACTCTGGGCGTCTAGCCGAACACAGCCATAGCTGTTTGGCGGCTAGGCTTCGCCCAGAGAGTGGTCACCAGCCACGACCAAGGTTTACTATCGGAGTTTGTAGCTTATTTGGCACCACCCAGGGGTCACGTGTAGGGTCTCGAGGGTATACAGCCGACGGACTCGAGCTACTTAACTCCCAAAACATTTTTAACACATCTTAGAGAGTTTATGATATGTGTGTAGATAAAATTAATATAAGTACATCAGTCATACGCGGCCGTGGGATCTGTAAAGTACCTCAAACGTTGGTTGTTTGAAAAAAAAAAACAAATATAGGCAATTTAGATCCGAAATGATCTCAGTACAGGAGTGCTAAAGATACCGACCTCAAAAATTCGTGGAATTATATTTATTTATAAACCGGATCATCGCCAAGTTTGCCTCCCTTACAGGTGTAATATTTTCTTCAAATTGAAATGGGACCACTACAGAGGTACCCTCTTTCCAGCAAAAAAAGAATCATGAAAATCGGTTCATAAATGCCGCGGAGTTATCGCGTAACATACATACAAAAAAAACATACAGAATTGAGAACCTCCTTTTTTTTGAAGACGGTCAAAAAGACTTCAAGATAAAATATTTCCCCATACATCAAATTAAGTATGTAGTTATGTACTAACTATAAATAAAAGAAATTCATAAAATTCCTATGGAAAAACCAGCATGTTTTCTGTCTATATATTCAGACAGTTTTACAACTTGTCTTTACTCAACTACTGGTACCAATTTGATCAAAAGTTGGCATCGATTAACAATGTTCAACGTCATAGGATTATTAAAACTATGCGCTGTGATGTTTCTAAGCCATGTAGATTGCTTTATACATCACCATCTGGATCTGGAAGGATATATTTCTCAATCGCAGGGGATCGGTAAGAATGAAATTAAAAATATTCTACTACCAGTGGACCATTGCGCCGCTGACTCGAGAACTTGGAACATGACATATGTTCAAAATTTAGAATTTTGGAAGCCAAATGGACCGATATATATAAACATTGGTGGTCCATATCCATATATAGTTCATACCAAAATTTTCAAGAAGGGATTCTTTCTCTACGATCTTGCCAAAGAAACCAATGGGGCTTTGTTCGGTACAGAACACAGGTATTACGGGAAAAATACACCATTGGACCTTACAAAGACAGAAAACCTAAAATATTTAAATTCAGAACAAGCTCTTGGTGATATAGCAATGTTAATCAAATACGTCAAGACAATGTTGAATGCTGAAAATTCAAAAGTCGTTGTGGTTGGTGGCTCTATGGACGGAAATGCAGGGAATTTGGCTGCATGGATGAGGCTGTTCTATAGCGACTTCGTAGACGCAGCAGTCTCACTTAGTGGACCCGTTCTAGCTAAGGCAGACTTTAAAGATTTCTATGAAATTGTTGGTGAAAATTTTTTGAAATACGGCACTCCGGGTTGTTACGACAAAATAGCCAAACAGTTTACTACATTCCAAACCCGACTTAGTACGCCGGAAGGTATAAAACGGTTTAAAGAAGAACATCTAATATGTCCTTCTGTCGATATGTCCAAGAAAGAAAATCAGCAAGTATTTTTCAACAATTATTTAAGTGCATTCAATATATTTACTTTTGATGCTATTGATGGTGATGCTTTCAAAGTTGCATGCGAGAATATCATTTTCAAAGATATCAGCTTTAATTCTAAATTACTCCAGTGGCAGAGTGATTATATTGTGCAGGATGGACACGGGTGTATTAATGATGATTTTGATGTCAAGTTCAACACATCAATAAAAGATCCTTGGTTGTACCAAATGTGTACAGAATTCGGATCTTTCCCGAGCACAGAAGAAGGTAAGCATCCTTTTACCAATAGTTTACCAGTGGAATACTACTACAAGGCATGTGAAGTACAATTTGGGCCCGAATTTGGTAAAAAGAGAGTCGAAGACGGGGTTAAGGCTACAAATCAAATGTACGGAGGCCTTCATCCAAACGTAACAAAAGTGGTCTTTGTGAATGGCGAATTCGATCCTTACCGGAAACTTGGTGTCACAGAAAACTTGTCAGACGATGCTCCGGCGTTCGTCATTGCAAATTCTGGCCGTGCTGTAATGCTCTACGATAAAGATAGCAAGAACAAGGAGATAATAGAGGCTAAGAAAAAAGTGAAGACATTGATTAAAAAATGGATTGGTTTGTGAAAATTTTGTAAAAATGTTTATAATGGAAGAATACTAACAATGGAAATTGCTTAAGCCTCGATCACTATGAAATCTTGATACCTAATGGTTGCTCGTAGTTTATAACGTAATAAGATGTTGCAAATTTTGGACTGTTAATATAATTTAAAGTTTACTCAGTCGCTATACAGTTGAAAGTTTAGTACCTTTATTGCAAGTTACGACGTTTTGATTTTATATTGAAATTTTATTCGACGTGCCGCCATCTTGCGCCAGTTGGACTACGACGAATAAATAGTACCAAATACCTTCTTGACAACAGGATATCGACTTTAACCAACACATTGCGTAATGAACTTTATTTCGATTATTTAGTTTAAAATTAACAAAACACTCATGAACCATTTTTTCTTAGCTCTCCAAAAGATAAAACTCGACCATATTGCTCTGGGATAATGTTTACTTTCGTTTGTTTACAGTACAAAAAATCAATTCAAATATTACAATTTTAGTTTTTTACGATTTAAGAGCACGCGTATGAAGCTAACTAACCACTTCTACTTTTCTTATTATTCTGTGTTTAAACTAATATAATGAGGGGCGCCTTTGCCTGGATTAGAAATTGCTGTACAGTACAAAATTATCAACGTATTCAGTTATACTTAAATTACAATTTTGTAATGCATTCAATCATAATAATAATAACGCATAATTGCACAATATTCTTCTGTTTTTTTTTTCTCAATTCGTACCTCCTACCTAGATAATAAGAAAATATTATTTGATTTTAAAATCGGGATTTGTCGTGTCGGATATATTTTATTTGTCCATGGTCTCTAAGGGATAAAATGGCGGATGTCCACACTGAGGGTCGTATTCTAGAACTCTACTCAATGCTCAAGTCAGGATTTGAGTATGGTTTAAAGCACTCGAAATCATACTCAAGTCCCTGGCATTAGGGTCGTATTTCCAGTGCTTGTGTTTCCAGTGCAATCCTGACTTGAGCATCGAGTAGAGTTCTAGAATACGACTCTTAGGGTCGTATTCCAGAACTCTACTCAATGATCAAGTAGAGTAGAGTTCTAGAATACGACCCTTAGGGTGGTATTCCAGAACTCTACTCAATGATCAAGTATGATATATATACTCAATGATCAAGTCAGGACTTGAGTATAATTTAAAGCACTAGAAATTATACTCAAGTCCTGGCGTTTAGGGTCGTATTTCCAGTGCTTGAAATCATACTCAAATCCTGACTTGAGCATTGAGTAGAGTTCTAGAATACGATCCTTAGTCTTCATTATTTATTTGTGCACTGTGGCGCTTACGCTACTTAGTATAGGGATAGCTCAATGAAACAACATGTGATTTCTTCACGTACGATACGTCCGCTCACACTACAGTCTAGTATCGTAATGACGGAAACGGCGGCGGGCCGCAGTGTAACTTATATTGTCTAATGTCTATGGTGTATTATGTGCATACACTACATCTCTCCCTTTCAATAAAATTAATAAAAAATTTAGCAATGTGTGCTTTTACATTACTTTTATAATCATTACTAAATGTCACAATGACTAAATAAACATAGCCTAAAGCATTTTACATTGTTCTTCATTGTGTCCGTTTTTATAAACTTGATCTTCATTATGAATCTCCAATTGCCCCTTTATTTTCTTTTGTCCTTCTTAATTCTTGGTTTGTCTAGACATTTTTCACGTATATATTTCTTCTTTTGCTTATATAATTGCATATGGGGTGCTATTATACATCATAAGGTAATACAGAAGATTGTCGTTCCAGGCGGAATTTTGGCATTAACTTATTTTGAAATGCTTAATTTGTTACGATCTCGCCGTTCGGTTGTGGCAAATATGCCTTTGAGTTGTAAGTCTAATGCCAAATTCCGAGTGGAAATATTTAAATTAACAATGTTCGATATAATAATGGCATACTGACTCGGTGCCAAGTTTGGAAAAATATAGAACCTTTACGATTTCCTGGATTATTATGGATTTCCTATTGCGGCTGTAACAGTCAATTACGAGAAAATATGTATAAACCTGGAAAATCAATAACTTAATAGTTCACAATTTTGCGTTGGTAATTCGCGTCTTTTCATAGGCACAGGAGGGCTAGATCCTGAAGCTAGAGTGCAACTTTTACAGCAACCATTATTTCTTGCCTTTTTTTAGAAAAAAAAACACAGTAGGTTTGTCGTAGTTAGTAGTTCATAGTAGGCTTATATATTTCATTCATGAACATATGAACTATAATGAATCTATTTCCGATACTGACCGACACGACGTTCGTCCAGCACGGTCTTAATAGTTCATCTGTCTTTTTAACCGACTTCAAAAAAGGAGGAGGTTCTCAATTCGACTATGTTCCTTTTGTTTTAATTTTTTTTTGTATGTATGTTACGTGATAACTCCGGTATTTGTGAACCGATTTTCATGATTCATTTTTTGTTGGAAAGGGGGTACTTCCATAGTGGTCCCATTTCATTTTGAAGAAAATCATCCACCTCGAAGGGTGGCTGTTCACGCATGAAGATTCATTTTTATAAATAGCGCCTAACTTTAATTTAGGAGCAATTACTTTAATGGTTGATTTTGCTATTTCTCCAATTCAAGGCGTTTTTCTCTCCATATACTTTGAGTAGAATTCTCAAAAAGTTTTTTTTAGTACTCTGTACTGAGATTATTAATTGAAACTATGAACTGTCTGTGTTGATAGTAAATCGTCATCCTGATTTCATTTAGGATTAGCGTTGATAGTTCATCTGTCTTTTATTCAGTAGGAGCGGTGCGAGCGGGAAAATGAGCTATCTTTTACTGCTTACCTTTTTTTAACCTTATGGTCGAGTGAGATGCACGACTGAACGTGCCAGCTCGCTTTAAGTCTCTAATACGTACAGATGGTAGTACGTCAATCATTACATCGACATATTTTGTTCCGTTGCACTGGAGGAGATATTCAAACAAAAGTATGTAAGTGGATGAGCTTCTAATTGTACATTATGTACTTTTTCAATATTTTCCGGTATTTGTAATATGAGAAGGATCTTTCAACATCCACAGATATAAGATATTTGTACATCATAATCGGTGTTTTAATATAATACTCTTCTTCAATTATTTTTTTCGTCAGTGGTATAAATCGATTCATCCGAAGAACAGAGTCCGATGTGATTATATAGCGAAAAGAGAATAGGTACGTTAGGTAGAACAATTTCGTTAATGAAACCAAGGCCTATGTAAAGGTGTTTTGAAAATTTATATATCTTATTTCGTTTCGGAAATATAAAATCGAACAAAGGTCGATCTGACATCCACAGCGAAGAAGAACGAACGAAATGTACTATGTCCCGAGAACAAGTAGTCTTGCACATAGACCTTTGTTCTACGGATGAGTCGAAATCATTATTGCTCTGACATCGTCAAGCACATGTAAGAACTCTGACATTGATAAATCAGATTTTTGTAATTCAGTAAGGGCTATTTGAATAATATTTATCAATATAATTTTACAATGGTACAATATCACCGCTATCTATAATATTTTTTTTGCGTTTCGTATGGAAAGAGCCTCATTGTTATAAAAACAATCAAAGACTTAAATGCCAGAGATCAAAGAAATCTTAGAAAGAAATGAGGCCTGTAGCGCGTGGTCGGGTTCAGATTGCGGGGTATGCTTATTCTTTTCGGAACTTCCGGGTTCGATTACCAATTTGGCTCAATTTCGGAAAAAAACATTTCTAAGTTGGTTCCGGTCTGGGTATTGCCCTCAGAGTTACGTTACTCTGTTACTCACAATACACGAAATTCCCTAGTTTGAGACCAGAAATTTGGAATGATTGTCTGACATTTTTTCCCTAAATGATTTCCCTCTTTTTGGCATAGCTTCCAAGAAAAAAGAATCTAACAGAGAGACGGTCGATATACAACAACGCTATCTTTTTTCCACTGCATCGGGTAGTATACCTTACATTTTGAACAATTGTAAAATGTTGTACTCGTAATAGAGTCTACTACCTACGTCAGGTGGCGTGCGAACGCTTCGGGCTTCGCCTTCCGCTAGACAATAGTTTCCCAAAGTGGTCCCTATCGCCCCCCAGTGGGTGCTGAGAATCTTAGGGGGACGATAGCGTCCCCATAAGATTCTCAGCACCCCTATGGGTCTCGGTAACAAGTTGATGCTGTTCAGGAGGTGCTACTGCATTAAAAAAACCTAGATATATATATTTTATGTATAAACTACACAACATATATTTATATATTTTTTTCTTTATGATTTTTGTATTAAGTTAATTATTGTTTTTTGTGATTGATTTTTTTTATCTTGCCTAAGTGGGTGGTGAGCCAAAAGGTTTGGGAAGCTATGCGCTAGACCTTGACCTACGGCTTTGGCACTTATGACTTTAAAAAAATTAACATAGCTCTTTAATGGCGGCCATATTGACAAATGGCAGCAAGGAAAAGACGAATTCTCAAATGTGAAAATATTTACTTAGGGCAAAGATTACAAGCCCTTGAGAACAAATTAACTAACTATCGAATGAGAGACCTCGGAACAAACAAAACAGCTCAGAAAAATAATAATGAAGCCAATTAGCCTTCAGCAGAATAAAGAAAATAAAAATATATTAGCTAAAAAATATTTGCATTCCTGTTACGAGAATTCAAAAATCTGTTCATAATTTTTTTAACGATTATCAAAACAATCGACTTACATCAGAAAAAAAGGAGACAATCACTACAAAAAAAAAAGAAACAAATTCGGTTGTTAAAGATACATTGACAAATTTATATGTTAATTTCAAAAAGAAACAGGAAATCACATCTCTTACAAAACATTCTTTCATTCATCGCGTCTTATTTGCTGACGATGTATCCTTGCTAACGACATGTCGTAATGATACAGATATAAATGAACAACTCCATAAAATGCTACAAATAACAATCAACTGGATGACAGATCACACCACACAACCTTGACATTAACTTTGAAAAAACCAAAATAATAGCCTTTTATCCGTATCAGAAAAATTCTTTAAATATTCATTTTAGTTTCAACAATGTACATTTAGATCATGTTCAAGAATTTACCTTGCTTGGCTTAGTTTTAGATACACATATTAATTGGAAAGCACATATTCAAAAATTAAGATCTAAAATCGGCAAATCTGCTTATGCACTTCGCGAAACAAAGAAAACAAATAATTTGGAAACCGCGCTCACCAC